CTTGAGAAATCCAATTGGGTTTCAAATATTTATTATGTTATTTATTCATATTTTTATTTTTTCTGTTAATGGAAGGCCTGGGTCTTTTGATTTTGGACTTAAAGAAAAAAACATTTGGAAAACAATTTCTGAATCATAAAATTTATTAAGTATGTTCTGGTGACAAATTTTTAATATTTTGGTAGAAGTACCAGTGCAAGAAGTAAGGGTGAACATGCTGGTGATAATTTTAGAAATTCAGGTGATTGGACATTGGATGAAAAGGAATTTTGAGGCAGGGGATTGGTGGAATGGGCAGCAATATACCTATTGGGCCTGAATTCATGAATCTCAGGTCCAATGCCCATAACTCAGGCATTCTACTAACCTGGACTCTCAGTGAAATTAAAATGGATTAAAAACTTCTATTTTTTTAAGTAACATTTTTATTCTTCCTTTAGAGGAAATGACCCGGTTTCCTGACTCTGGAAATGGAGAAACAAAGGGTGAGACTCAATTTAATTTTGGAGATTCTGGTTCAAATCAGTTTGGTGACAATGGCCGTAGTGGTACAGGCTTTGATGGAAATGGATTAGGTGGTTCTGGAAGCCCCAGTTCCAGTGCTCTAAGTATTGATTGTTAATTTCTGTGCATACAACAATTCTGAATCATGGCATGCATTGACAGGAACTCTCGTGACCATCACTTCGTATTCAGCAGGTGACTCATGTGCAAGGAATGGGGCTGAATATTTTGATGCTGTTTCTAAAGATTCAGGATTTAATTTGGGGTCATCTGATCAACAGGGATTTGGAGTCAGTGAAATTGGTGGGAATGGAAAGCATAGCAGGGGACCCTCTGGGCCTAAATACTTGAGTCCTGGATCTGATATCAGTGGCTCAGGCATCCTAACCTCGGCTCTGTTCCTGAGAAATCCAAATGAATTTCTTCCTTCTTTATTTTTTTAAATCACATTTTGATCTTCCATTAGGAGGAAAAGAGTGGATTTGGTCTTCTGGTTCTGAAAGTGGAGGAAGAAGGAAGGGGGTAGCTGGACTTGGTGATAGTGCTTCTGGACCAAACCAATTTGGTGAAACGAGCCGTAGTGGTACACGTACTTGTGATGCTGGAAACGGCCTCACTGGATCTGATGCCCATGGCCTGGGAATTTGAGATTTATTTCTGATGATTAGAAAGTCAGGATTCTTACATACATTTTAAAACAGCAGTGAAAATCATAAACATTATTAATAATTATATAAAAAGCAAGCCGAAGTCCTGAAATAATAAATTGTATTTAGATATGACCAGTAAAAAGTCATTTAATATTTGTTAGCAGAGGACATGGAACTAATTTTGTGGCTGTGAATATATTGACGTGAAATCATTTTTGTTGCCTTTATGCAAAATTGTTTTGGTGTTGCATAAATTGAAGCGGTCCTTAGAGTAGCAGCTGATTTGTTGGCATCAGGCTTTGTATCCTGGATCTGGTCTTGGAGGCTTAAGAGGTTTTTTTGACTTTTTGGTTTTTGTTTTTTGTTTTTGTGAAGGTCCATTCCTGAGAAGAGTTAATAAGTTTCTTTATCTTTTTTTAAATTCTGATACAATTTAATGTTTCTGCTTAATGGAAACGTTAGGTTGAATAGCCTTGGAATTTGTGATACACATTGTTAAAATAATATTTATCATGCTTTGGGAACTATTTTGATGTTGTTAGCTGTGTTGAGAAGTCTTGGGAGACATTAAACTAGATAACCACCGAACTGTGGATAGTAGATCCACTTCTAATGACATGGGTGTTCTGAAAAATATTCAGGATGCATGTGAGTAACTCAGATTTAGCATACTTTTCTTTTAGTGAAGTCTAATTAGTAATTCATAATAATGGTTGTCCTCAGTCAGGATTGGCTATCTATCAATCTGTTCAAAAAAGGATTGATCATACAGAAATAATAATTTTATTTTGAGTTGTTCTTAAGTTTTGGATATTAGTTTTGAAGTCAAACCTTCAATGGAACTGACAAATTTGAAATCACTCATTATTTATTGCCACTAATTTTTTT